ATAAGTTAATTAGTAAGTTTTTGAGTTATAAGCCAAGTCCTTAGGTGTGGAAATATTTTTGTCACCCACCTGTAGATGTTTGGACACCAACTAATCGATTAATCAGTAAATTAATAGTTGCAACTAAAGAATTAATAAAAAATTTTGGCATTAGTAACACTACCAAAAACCTGATATTTCTCTAATATAGCTTTGATAACCAGTAAAGTTATAGTATATGAAATTTTTGATTGATTGGTATTACAGACAAGTATTTGGTTAGATTTTTTTTACTAACCATAAAAGTAGCTAAAACAAATTAGCCTAAAATATTATGTATAGGTATTATACAATCTTTGCTTAGAGCATAAAATCTATTATTCCATAATTCAATATTACATATATTGTTAATTTGATAATAAAATCTGGTTTTACAATTTGCAGCCTGGTACCATCTAACAAAAGCTAATATGTGCTTTTTTTTTCTATCTGGAAGTTGTATCATATGTTCAAAATAGAATTGAACAAGCCCAGGATAAGTATCTACTGAGTCATTATTTAATACAAATCGCACAATGATTTTTGCAGAATTCTTGTGCTTTTGTAAGTAGATAGATCCAAACACTTCCTCACTAAGCCTTAACTGACCAAATTTAGTAATTCATAGCAATACCAGTATCGAATTTTGAGATGCAGTATGAAGGTCAGATAATTCAACAAAATTATAATTATATATATCCTGATAGAATTCTATTAATAATGCTAATAAATCTTGTAGAAGACGTGACTTATCAGGGTTTAAAAATTTACCAGGATAGGATTCGAAATCTATTCTAGAATTTTTTTCAATATTTTGAGATGTCAAAAGAAAATTGTGATAGTCTTCATTATATGTTGCAAGACTACCAGTAGTTCTTTTTGGTTTTAAAAATTGCAAATATATCTTTAAATGTTGGTCATTTATATAAGATAACTGCTGATTTAGGAGTGAATTAGATTAGATAATTCTAAGCATTTCAGATTCAACTTTCCTATTACTGTTGTGAAAGGAGCCTAAAAAACAAATATGAGTATCGGTATATTTATAAACCTATCAAATGATTATAATATTTGTTATCTAATAAACTATTCATATATTCAAAACTAAAACACCAGAATGCATATAATGGACTATAACCTAAAGCACATTCACTTATGTATAAATATAAGTGAAAGTTGGATATAATTTTATCTGGCCTATAAATTTCTTCAATAAGTTTTGTCATATTTAAAAGACAATTATGAGCCTCGTTTAACTTATCTTTTGATATAATACAACATACCAGTATTATATACACATGTATATAATAAGTAAGTATTTTTCTATTGGTTTTTCACAGTAGATCCCAAGTTACTGTAGTTGTATACACCAATATGAAAGTTCTCTATTAGTCAGCAGTGAATCTAAAAAACCTTTTACCTGCTGCAATTTTAAGAATTTTACCGATGTCTGTAGATAGCTTTATCTCTTTAGATTGACTTTCTATCTTTTCTAAATCATATGCTATTAATTGACCTCTCTCGATCTATAACCTTGTAATGATCTATTTAGCAATACCTATAAATAGGCAATGTATTGGATCTACAACTAAGAAACATAAAGAGTTGAAATATGGGAATCGATAAATCTCTGACTATCGAACCAAGGTAGTAGACACATGATTCTATCTTTCATTATCAGTATTATATCCCTTCCACGCAACTGCATTTTGATGAATAATATTAATATTACTTTCTATGAACTATTCATCAATATCAGTAAATCTACTAAAATTTGGCTGGTTTCTTTTATCAAAACTAGCTTTTTTAAAACACCTATAACACGCAATCTTAGCAAATATATGACTGCACAATTTTCTTGCAGCTAGTATGTCATATGAGCAATATATTACCGCAGCTCTAATATATTTACTGGTAGAGCTTTCGTGATGCTTGCCAATTCAATTTCTAAATATTTTGATTAGAAAAAATAAATAAATAAAAAATACAGTAAATTAAGCTAAAATAGAAAATAGAAAAATTAAAATAAAATAGGAAGAAAAATCAAAAAATTTGCTACCAAAACAGCAAATACATGCTTATCAATACTGAAATAACCAGCACTAATCTTAATTACACAGCATAGTTAGCACTATAGTTAAAGTTAGTGCCAGAATATAGCAGAATTAGAAGTTTTGTTGTGCTGGATAGATTAGTGAAGCAACCAAAATTTAAAGCTAAAATAGGCCAGAATTGATTAACTTCTCCCAAAATCATCTAAAGTTTTACTAATACTAATGAAATGGTAGTCTATGTACTAAGAAAGCTGCCCAGATAATAATGTTGCTATAATATAATTGTCTTGTATTATGACTTAATGCCGGCCTAACTTGGATCTATTCCAATCTAAATTTTGGTTGGTCTGCTGAATTTTGATTGCTCCACTAATCTATTTTGCTATGCTGGTAGCAATTTCCAAAAATAAAATATAGAAAAATAAAATAAATAAATAGCTAAACGAAGTACTACAAAATCTGGGTTATCTTTTTATAAATCAACTAATTGATCTATCAGAGGTGCCAAATAATGATTCAGTTTATGTAATTTAGATTCATTAGGTTTGGGTATCAATGCTAATGTTAACATGTTTTTTGGTTTAAATCATTGGTCATGTGGAAGGTCACAAATTACTCTATAAACTGCACCAACACTATATTGAGAATTCTTAAACAGCTAGAACCAATTCAGATTCAGTATCAACCCCAAGTGACTGTCTGGTAATTCTTTTTGGAAGAATAGTATACCTTCTTCTGGATCTTGAAATATTTTCCAAATTCTTCCATTATAGATATCCATTAAGTATCCAGAATTATTAGACTATTTTATCTACTTTTTATATTCAACCTCAAAACCTTTCTGGCTGTACAACAATTGTAATTGATGTTTTAAGTCAACTACCAGATAAATTGATAATGGTTTGTAAATTGTACCATTTTTAACAGGAACCTTTTTAGACAAATTGGCACTACAAGATAGTCTTTTATTAGTTATTGGGTGGTTAAGAAAATCTTTCAAAGTGCATTTGTTGATTTTTAGCTATCAATTTGATTTTGCTGTTGATATATTTTTAACCGAATATAATTTACAACTAGCGTATATAATCCTATAAGGATAAATACCAAGCATTTTATATGCCATATCTAAAGAATCAGAAAAGTTGTTGTAAATATTTTTATCGAGATGAATTAGAAAATATCGAAGGAATTTGATTAAGAAAATGATGGCTGTATTGGATAACTAGTATTTTTCCTGAAACTTTAAGACCTATAAAATAATCTATATAAAAGCTTTAAAAGCTTGATTATTTTCAGGTTTATCTAGGCCATTATTATTAGATTCATTTTTAGGTGTATTGAAATTAACAAATTGGTCAGTTAGATCATCATCTTTACTATATTTACTTGACCTATTATCATTAATATCTTCTCAGTTTTCTTTATTATTATCATCTGAAAATAATTAGTCAGCCAATTCAATAGAAATATACTCTCTATCTGTTTTTTGTATTATTTTGTCTTTGTCTTTTGTATCCTTTACTAGCAAAAAATAAAATACAATTTCTTGGGGTGCGGTTTCAGAAACAGATTTATCACCTGACATGTTCAATTGCATAGAATCATCCGAAATATTTTTTTGACTTGAAATTTCAATCTGTTCAGCATTATTTCTTTGTAAGATTCTTTTTTAGTTATATGTAACTTTTTAGTTTGTAGATCCCTTAAAGCATCTTTACAATTATTGCATATACAACTCTTGAAATATCTTTTTTTAGTCTTAATCGTATTCGACTTATTATTATTAGTATCAAAGTTATTAGTTGAGATTTTTTTAATAGCAGTTCGTCTAGATCTTTTTTATATCATATTTCTTAAAATCTTAAGTTACGATGATGTAAATAATACTTAATATTTTTTATAGATTCATTATTTATACAAAATGCTTATTTATAAAATATAATTATTCCCTAATTGTTTGATATATCAAAGAAATTATCAATTATTAAAATTCTCAAATATATATTACATTACAAATAAAAAGTTATCAATAAATATTTCAAATTAAAAGTATCAATAAACCTATCGATTAATAAAAAATCTATATTCACTGCAAATTTT